TTTCTGGATTCTCTGTTCTGCATCACTGATCTGTTCCTCTACCCCTGAATCAACACTACACTGGGATGAATGAATACTAGAGCATTATTATAAGCCATAATATCTCTAAGTCCCCTAAGTTAGTTTTCTTTCTTAAGTGTCTGGCTATTTTTGGCACCTTGACCCTCCATATATATTTTAGAATCAACATGCCAAATTTCTTGAAGAAAGCTGGTAGGATTTTATTTTAGGAATAAGAGAAATTTGTATGTTGAGGAGCATTGATAACTTTTCTGTACTGAGGGTTCTCATCCATGAACATATTAGAGTATTACATTTTAAAAGTTTTCTTTCATGTCCTTCAATAAAATATAATCATTTTCCATATAAATCTTACACATTTTTCTTGTATTTTTCTTGTTTGTTTATTTTATTGTTATTAGTGACTCCTTTCTTTTATACCTTTTGTGGTAATGTAGACAATCATATAATCTGTAACAATCATTTTATTTATATCTTTCCAATCCTTTTAAATTGTATATTTATTTTTCTTATTGTACTAGCAAGATTGTTCAGTCTGATGTTAAGTAGAAGTAGTGATAGTGGTCAAATTTGTCTTGTTTCTAAAGGAAATATTTGAAAAGAATTACAAAGAGAATATTTTTGTATTCCTTAGGTGATTATGATATTTGATGAATGTTTTTGATGCATACTATATTTCAGGTTAAGTGAGTTCTGTTCTTTTCTTTGGACTATAATTAATCATCAGTATCTTTATTGTCTCACTGAACAGTGAAGGCACCTGAATGCTTTAGCTCTTTTGTACCTTTTACTTATAATCTATATTCTCCTATAGGCTTTTGGTTGTGTTTGATTTTTTTTTTACTCCTCTAGTTTATAATTTATTGTTATCATTTTCATAATATAAATGTTTGGATTTGTTTGCATATTTATCAGGGTTTTTTTTTATATCACATTTTCTCTCTAGAATAATTTTCCTTCATTCTGAACCAAAATTCTTTAGTGACTAATTTAGGATAATGAAATCACTCAAATTTTGTTTTCTTAAAAGTATATTTCACTTTTATCTTTAAAAAGCAGATTCACTGAATACTCACTTGTGCCAGTGATATTTTTCTCTCAGCACTTTGAAGATACTATTCCATTTTCTCCTCATTCCCATTGTTACCATTACAGGTCATCTTTTAGAGGAATTCGGTTTCTTTGGAAATATTCTGTTTCTGCAGGCTAGAAGTCCGGCTACAATGTGGGTTAGCTGATTCTTCTGTTCCAGGCCTCCTAAAACTGAAATCAAGATGTTAGAACTACATCCCTTGGTTGAGGCTCCAGGGGAGAATCTGCTCCAAGCTTGTTTGGGTTGTTGGTTGAATTCAGTTCTTTGCAGTTGTAGGACTGGACTCTCCATTTCCCTGCTGGCTTTCAGCCCGTCAAGGGCTGCCCTTGGCTCCTAGAAGCCTCCCACTGGTCCTTGGACATGGAACCCACATTTCAGACTCCAAGAAGAGAAAGTTCTAATTTTAAGATCTTATGTGATTACACTGGGCCAACTAGATTAATCCAAGATAATTTCCCTTACTTACATTGGGCACAATCCTTTTGCCATGTGATGTGACACTCATATCAGGGATTAGGGTGTGGATATCTTGGAGGAGAGGAGATTATGCCTTCCAGATGGGTTTGTTGATTTTTTTTTTAAAATTATAAATCCTTGTTTCTTACAAATTTATCTCTGGGCATTCTTTGAAATCTTGGTTTAAAATGTGTTCCTTTAGAAAATTTCCTTCTCTAAGCATGTAAGTTATTGCTAATACAGCTAAATAATTTAAATTTCTAATGTGATGTTTTCTGGTACTATGAATTCAGGCCCTAACACATGTAAGCACAAGTTTTTCATTAGGAATTTTTAGAGAAGACTTATTTTCTCCTATTTCCCTGAGTCAAGGCAAGGTAAGCAAATCTCTTACAGTACAATTTCTTTTTCTTCGTTGATTTGCGTTGCATTGACCAGCAGGGGCTGACAGCATGCTCAGGCTGGACCTCAACTCTCAGGCTGCCACCCTGCAGCTCTAGCTCAGTTTCTCACTGTTAATCTGGGTCAGCTCCTCCCTCTCTGATCATCACTTGCCATAGCTTCATTCTGACATTCAGGAAGACATATTTGCATAGGAAATCGTCCATCTACAAAAAAATACCCATCTACCCTAGTCCCAGAAGGTTATTTTTATTTATTTATTACTGTAATTTGTAAAACCCTAAACCCCAGCAGTGAGATTTTCAGACACATAACCTGACCTCTACTTTTGTCTCTCTCTGTTTTGCTGTCCCCCTCCTAAGGGGAATGAATTTAAGGAGAAAGGAAAAAGAAAACTGATTTTCATGCCATGTAAACAAGAAGAATAAAAGGGGCATAAATATGTTAAATGATATGTTTACACTTTAATTTATCCTCCAAATGACTTTTTCAAATAGATTTGAATTTTCATTTTTTTGTTGATAGTTCTTATGTGTCTTGAGAATCTCAGTTTAACGGAATTGTTTGGATTAATTTAATATGGGGAAGACAAAACCCATGACAGTTTTAAAAGATAAAGCTAAAAAAGGAGGCTTAAAGTCAAATATGTATCTTCTCTTAAGTGTTACAATGTTCTTTTGTGTCATTTGACTCTATATCAAGTTATTTGTCAAGTTTTTAAAATATTGAAATGCCCATTAATAAAGGGTTTTGAACTTCGGCTTTAAATGACATTTTTTATTAACTGGCCTTGGAATGTCCAGAATACTTTCATCTTCAGATCCCTTGGAATTACTTCTTTGCTTTATTTAATAAATATTTATTAAGAGCTTGTTACTAAGAGCCTGTTGTGTTGTGTTATTTATTAATAACATTAATAACTGTTATTAAGAACATTCTATTAGCCTCAGGAAAAGTAGCCATGAGCAAGATTAATATCCCATGAAACTCAACTGCTGGTAGAAGAAACAAAAAGCAAAGTAAAGCAAAAGAAGGTATAGTATAATAACAGGGAGTGATAAGTGCTCTAAAGGAAATGATAATGCAGGCTCTAGGGACAGTGATTGGAGTGGAAACGTTTGAAGCAAGGTGGCTAATGAATGCCTGAGGAAGTGACCTGAGCAGATACCTGAAAAGAGGAAGGAGGTTCTGTGATTATCTTACTCAAGAGTGAACCTCCACTGTATTTTATGACTACTGGAGAATCCAGGTCTAAAGGCCCAACTTGTGAAATAATGAACAGTAGAAAAGCAGACCTAACATTTTTGTAAAGATAAAAATCAACTTCCTGTTTTGGCATTATAAGTCATGGGACTCAAAAATCCTGTAGACATAAACACTCATTTATATGGATCTCTGCCAAGGAAAAGTACAAATCCTTACCAAGCACATTACATGCACAGATAAGAACTCATGCTACTAACAAGCTGTTAACAGTGAAGAAAAATATGCCTAAGTCATATATTGTTAGAGACCAAATTTTCTGCAGGATTTCTGACCATCTGCAAAAGTGAAAACTTCTGAGGAGAAAATCTAGGTGATTAAGCATGAAACAATGAAAGGAAGTCTCAGCCTATATCCCAGCCCCAAAATGGAGCGAGCTCTGCTTCTTGCACAGAAGGCAGTTTCAACAAACCCAGACTCATCTGTTCCACTCACAGGGTTTGTTGTTTTAGCACAAATGTGCTCTATATAACTCTTTCTTAAAATGTACCCATCTTTAAAATTAGTATTTGTTGAGTCAGACAGACTATATAAACACAAAATGTGTACTTAAAAAATACATCTAAAATTGAAGAATCCCACTCTGTTTTGGTAAGAATTTAGAAGTATCTCAATATACTTTCATCCAGATTATGTTTTTCCAATATAAGATGGTCTTTTAATTTTCTATTTTTATAAATTTTTCAACAAATATTGAAAAGTAAAATGGGGTCTGAATGTAGTTTAGTGCAGTTAATGCCGTCTGGCACTACTACTTCTACTTTCGAAGGTTTCTCAATGCTCAGAGGATATGATCTAAACTAATAAAGCTAAAACTAAGAAAGACTCTTGAAATTTTAACTTATCTACATCTCCTGAAAACTTTCATGTAATTCTTTCCTATAGTCACAACCACAATAACCCCTGTGTGAATTGTAATGATTGTTCTACTCTGGTCATATTGACCTTCCTACCTTCTTATTCTCTCCCCTTGGTAAAATTATTTTCATACTTTCCCACAGAGTACAGAAGTCATCGCTTTTCTCAGACATCTCCATAAAAAACATTACTGTGATCATTGTACTTGTTGCTATAACACTGAACATTCTGTTGTAATCGAATGTTAATATTTATGTTTCCCTTGCTTGTTTTTAACAGGCTCTTTCACTGTGGATATCATCTTTTCATACTTAAATACCAATAAAAGAGTAATAAAAATTACATATAAGTTGTATTTTAGATAAATATTTATGAAATGAAGAAATAGCTTTTCAAAATTAATATCCCAGATAGATAAGAGACATGTTAAGAATTTTAACAAATACCTGAGATTTATAAAAATGGGCATTAGATAAAATTAATTAAATGTACTTGAATACTATATGGATTTCCAAAGACTTCCCCACCCACCCCACCCTTCTCAACTTACTGTAAAAATCTAATTGTCAAACGTTGGGAGTGCTCTCTTTCTTTATCCTATGTAAATTTAACCCAGACTGCTGTAGCTGAGATTTTGGAATCTTCCTATGTATGTCAGTAGGAGTTGGAGAAGGAACAAGAAAAGGAGCCTCTTACCCCAAAAGCAGTTTGGAGGTGGCCCAGAGGAAGAAACTTAGTAATTTAGCTGAGGAAATGACGAGAAGGAAATTGTTTTGTGTCCCTGGAACCATGTGGAATTCCAAGATAAGAAAAACAGTTGCTAATTTGAGTATAAAAGCAGGAAACGTGATACACTTGTTTCCTTTTATGCAAACACAAGTATATGAGGGGTGTGAAAATTATTTTTCTCTTGCTGAACCACAAAGACATAGAATCAAAGTGCTTCTTTTGGACATACTGGCTTTTCTTTCTTTCTTTTTTTCTTCTGTCTCTTCTATTTCTTGTGGATATTATGGCTAATAACACAACAAGTTTAGGGAGTCCATGGCCAGAAAACTTTTGGGGTAAGATATTTTCTTTAACTGTTCTTAATTTAAAGTTAGGATGCAGAAATTGTACTGCAAAATTTACTAAAACATTGAAAATCTCTGAGACATTTTGTTTATCATAAACTGATTAAGTTTGCATAGATTTATTAAAATAAGTGTATTCGTGTAAAATGTCTTGAAAGTGGGTTGTGAAGACTTTCAAGAAGAATCTGGGCAACAAGCATAGATTTTGGCTGGTGTTACAAAATATAAATAGAAAATAATGAGAATAAACATGAGAAAAAAATAAAAGATAGAAGTAATTGTTTAGAATATGACAATGTGGATTTTGTTGGAAAAGTAAGTTTTGTTTTAAAGTTATAAATTGATATCTTATTTAATGAAATCAAGAGTTGTTACAGAGGCTATTTTAACTTAAATTGTTAATGTTATACTCCTTAATTTCCAAAGTGAATCAAAATAACAAAATCTATACTTCAAGAGTGTAATGACAGTTAAAATAAGGAATCTTATGAAGTTAGAGGACGAAAAAAATTTAGTAGAAAAGATTCACTGGAAATAGCATCACATAAAACGTTAAAAGGAAACCTACCATAGGAAAAAAAGAAACAGTATAAAAGTATTTTTAGGCTGAGTTCAGACACAACTACTAGTTAGTTAGTCATCAATAGCAGGGTAGAGCTAAAGTTGAAATAACCAGTTCTTCTAGGCTAAAGAAGGCAAGGGCTAGTGAAGAAGGGCCGGGATGTAAAACTGGCAAGTATTTTTGGATTCAGGGAAATTTTAAAAATAAAAGAGGCTATTTCAGTTAAATTCAGGAAAAAAAAATTTTAACGGAGACAATAGAGTTTCTGAAGAGATCAATAGTCCTATTTATTGGTCCAGAATGAGTTTCTAATCTTCTCAGAGCACAATTTCATACTTTCGTGATTTGTGGAGATGCTTTGTAAACTATCAGTGAAAATAAGTAGCAGTGATGACCATCCCTAACAACCTCACCTAACTGTTCACCATCCTACAAACGTGCATGAAGGGAATTCATTCATTCATTCATTCATTCTTCTTCTTTTTTTTTTTTTTAACCATAAACCCTTTATGTTTGCTTCAGGCCTGGAAAGGAGAGATATTAGTGAACATCCTAATCTAATTATTAAAAAATAAGAAGAAGAAAGTAAATTATGTTTGCATATTGTAAGGGATGACTTTGATAATAAGTAATTCCAGGTAGACACCAACACACAATAAGCCTTAGAATTATGGAAGTCTTAATTATATATATTTGTTACAATATTGCTTGCTGTCCCCATTTATAGAGAAAGTGAATACAATAAACACACTGAACATAGCTAGAGTGTGTTTGCACTAAATTCATCATTACAAAAATTGCTATACAAATTATTCAAAAGTAGAGTAGTTCTTTCCATAAAAATTAATATGTAAAAGCCAGTTCTATTTTTTTCAGGCCATTTGAAGTTAAATTTCAGGCTTACTTATGTAAAAGAAATCATTAGCCACTGACTAAAACATAGTAATCATAAAATAAATATGAATTAATAAGAGAATGCTTAATTGAAGCCTATTTACCAATCCTAAAAATACTGATTTCTGTTTTAAGTGCAGAAATTTGTGATTGAGAAGGAACTTACTGTTCCAAAGATAGTTGCTAGTGTTTCTTGTCTTAGTATGTGAATACAATGGAAAATAGATGGAAATAATGAAAACCAGGAAGGGGAGTGTTCATTGATAAGCATTAACAAAACAAATACAAATATGTTGAGCAGATACATTAGGAATGATTTGGGGAAAGTATATGAAAGATCACATTATTTCTTCTAGGATAAAAAATATTAAGTATAAAATGTAAAAATCTAAATGTAAATATACTAAATGTGGAAATTTCCTGATATAAATGTTGACCTTTTAAGTTTTTATTTCTTTTTTGTAACTAAATTGACATCTATTTTGATCATTGACTCCACGAATATATTATTTTGAAAATCTTATAAAGTACAGTATAATGTGTTGTCTATTGTCTCCAAAGACAATTGTCTGCTTGACATTTCGAATTTAGAAAATAAAGATAGAATAGTTGAGAAAAGCAAAACTTATGCATTGAATCATATGAATTTCTCACACTTAACACACTTAAGATGTATAAAAAGTTGTTTTCCAGATATCATTTTTTGGTTTACTGTAATGAATGTTGAAAAATAAGATAATGATACCAGGATATTACCAATAATAATAGCTTGCATTTCATTACTATACTGCAAGCATTACAGTAATCATTGCAAGAGGGAGCAAAAAAATTGGCTTGAGCCTGACAACACAGCTGAAGACCACCTTGTGTTTCTCACTTTTTCTTTCTGTAATGCATTTCCCTTCTCTATGAACATTCCCCACCAAAGCAGCAGGAACTAGAACCTGTAAAAGTTTGCTGGATCCTGCCTTCATAAAACAGTAGACACAGATCCTTAAACTTGGTTATCTTTTTGGTACTTAGCATCATAAAGAAGACATAGTTTGGGTTGTGTTTCCTGCCTTATCATGCATTTTTTCTTTTGGCTGGTACCATGGAAAATTGGGGGAGTTACTGGTTCAGGAGCTTGTATTTATTCACCTCATTTAATCCTTACGTAAACTATAATGTCTGGCTTCAAGAAGATCACACTCTTGGAGGAGATTATGTCTCCATACATATGCAAATATATGCCTATATTCTTATGGAGTAACGCTAGACAATACATGGGGGAAAGGCAATGATTGTTGAGTTTTTTTTAAAAAATGGCCAAAATGGTTCCAAAATATTTCTTTCTTAGAAAAAAAAAATGAGGCTTTACCTGTTCCTATAAGTCAGATAAGGTTCAAAGAAAGATAATCCTCAGAAGGACATTTTAGTCATTCATTCTTCCTTTGTTAACTTATTAATGCATTGACTCATCTATCAATCCAATTTATTAGTTTACTCAGAAACACTGCCTGACCATCCACTAAGTATAAGTCAATGGGTTAAGTGTGAGTGATACAAATAAGGCATAGTTGGACAATTTCAGGTAGTTCAGGAGAAATATTATCAGCCAACATGCAGAAGCAAAAACACACAAGCCACATTTGTGGAGATGAATGGTTTGAGGCAGATTTGTGCAAAGTTTTGAATGTCAGTGTAAAAGTTTGACCTGATTTAAATAATAATTTTCAATTTTATGACTTCAGCTCTCCCTGTTTTCCTCTTCCTTAAGACTTTTCTCTGAGATTGGAAAGGGCACAGGGTGGGAAAGGGCACTGAGATTGTAAGGGGACTTTTCTCTGAGATTGGAAAGGGCACAAAGTATATGGGAGTTAAATACTTATAGAGGGTATTGGAAGGAAAGAGTCTTTGATTCTTGATCAAGTTCTGATCTCTGCTGACATCTACTGATGCGTATTTCTCATCTGTTTTTAAAACATTGCCCTTTCTCTCCTCTCCGCTACTGAGGGCTCTTACATAAAATCTGGCTCATGGTCTATGCAACATTTGTTAATGGATAGTTTCTCCTTTCTTTATGTCCCCTCTGGTCTACTGCCTTTCATTCAGGTACTTTTCCATCCGTCTCAGTGGTACAGAACAATATTGAATGATCTTCCATAATCCTAGAGTTGTGAAAGGCTTTTGAGGTGAAGCTGTTTATCAGATGCCCTAGGCCCAGATATACCAATATCTTCCATCCTCACTTCTACTTGGCCCCTTAGACACCCAGGGTTCTCAGAGGGGCCAGTCATCTTCCCCATTTGGCCTAGGAAACTGAGAATAGATACCACCTTCTCTGAGATTCCCTTAATCAATCTATAATTCATCCCAGGGAGAGATGGAGGTGAAGATTCCTCCTCCAAAACCTTTACTAGTCACTAGGTCTTCTTTTCTCTCCAAAACCTCTCCTTTTTGCACTGCTTTTGATAACTGACTTATTATGCCCTGAATGTTTGTGTCATTACCCTCATCACCTTCAAATTCATATGTTGAAGCTGTGATGCCCAGTACAATGGATGGTAGTAGAAGATGGGATCTTTGGGAGGTAATTAGGTTTAGATCAGGTCATAAGGGTGGGGGGCTACATGATACATTTAGTGGCCTGAGAAGAAAAGCAAGTGAGATTGCTCTCTCTCCCAATCTTTGGGAACATACATTGAGGAAAGGTCAAGTGATGACACAGCAGGAAGAAGAGGGTCGCCTGTGAGCTAGGAAGCTCTCACCAGCCCCTGGTCATGCTGGCATCTTGGTCTTGGACTTCCTAGCCCCCAGAATGATGAGAAACAAGTGTCTGTTGTTTAAGCTATGCAGGCTATGGTATGCTGTATGGCAGCTCATGTTGACAAGTACATGACTCATAGACTATGGTTTATTTTTCCCAATACTGTTCATTAAGGTAAAAAGTATACTTTTGAGTCCTTTAGACTCTTAGCATTTTGAAACTCCAATAAACAAACAAAGCATAACACTCATATTTCTCAAAATATCTAGCGATTAGAGTAAAACAACTGGTTTTCAAGATTTTTATCTATTTGTTTTCATCTATTCTATATATTTAGTCCAGTTAGAAATTCTAAGCATCAACTTTTTATTTTCCTATGCATGCTAGCTAACAGTACTAATCCTTTCCAAGGTAATCGAAGAGATGAAAGGTCGTGAATTGATTTATTGAGTAGTCAAGTGTCAAGGGAGAGAAAACCTTGTTAGTAGCTGAAAATTCTATTCCTCAGACTGTAAAAGTATGGCTTTTAGGGGTCTAACCCCTACAGATGGGAGTAGGGAGTTTCCAGAGAAACTGGGGACAGAGTAAACTTATAGACTAGACATACAAATCCCAATGATGTCCTCTATATTATCTGCTAAATAGCAAACAAATACTATTGTGTTTCTTTTTTTTTTTTACTATTGTATTTCAAATGCATATCTTTAATTTGTAATTTTAAAACTTTGGGCCTGTATGCATTCTTGCATATTACCAACCTACCAATTATTTCTCTTAACTCATTAC